TTCTTTTTGCTGTACGCCAAACAACAGCATATACTATGTTTATTATAAGAGTTAGATCATTTAAATTTTCTTAATATAGAATTCTAAATTGTAATTCTCTCATTATCACTTGAAATCATGATTGACATCTTTATTGAATTCTATTGTTCTACACCATCCACTCTATTAATTTGAAGCATTATTCGAATTACTTCTATTCATTCTCAACTTAAACCACTTCTTTTTATGTCTAGTTAGCTATTCAAATAATTTCAACAAATTTAGTTTCTTTTCAATTTTTGATCATTTACTTTAATTAATATAATCAATTAATAAATTCTGATTCAATTAATCAGGTTTTTTTTGTTAATTATAGTTAATTAAATTGCCCAATTCATCAAAAAAACTACAAGTAACATTTTATGATCCAATTTAAAATACATGTTTGATCTATTCATCTACTGTACCAATTAATTAATCTAATTATTGAGCAACATTATTGTTTTATTTAAAATATATCTTTTTAACATTCTTCAAACAGCTTCATACTAATCATTATCGATTCTCAACTGATTCTTTCCTTATTTTGGATTTTCTTCGATAATTTAAAAGGCTTTCTTAAAACTAATTAATTTTGGTTATGATTCTAAATTTTCTATGCATTAATGCATAAAAGCCTTTAATTCCTTCTTAATTTTGTATCACATATGCTACCATTAAGATATGAAGTTTATGTTTTAAATAAACAATGAATTTCTTCTTCTTTTTCTATCATTTAAGATTAAATCATTTATTAATATATTAATATTTTTGCTCGTAAATTGATTGCCCTTATGCTATTCAAATGAATTGCTGTATTTTTGATTTTATCACCTGATTTATCCAATTCTAGAAATATGCCTCCTTTAATAACCAATTTACTTTAATCTTTTACTCCTTCTCAACTCTTTGGATAAATATTAGTTTTGCAAGCTTAAATTTGTCATAGATTTGCTATTAACGAATCAACTTATTTAATAAGTACCTTTTTAATATTAAATCTGATTTATCTCTCAGAATTAGTTTGAATTACTACTCCTGTCTTGTCTTATAAAAGTCTTAATTAGATAATTAAAATTAATAATTATTAACATTATTTAATTTATTAAAATTCAATTAGTTTTTAATTACTAAATTCTTTACTAGTCTATACTTTAAAAATCTATTATTCAGTATCTGAGTATAAATTAGGATCTGTCATCATTTTAATAATATATCCTCTTTGAATATTTTTTTGCTTATCCTTAGTATTTTCAAGAAGCTTTTAATAGTTTTACTTAAATTTTTCATTTTATAATTCATTTTCTTATTATTCTATTTAATTTTTTATTTAATTTTATTATTTTGATATTACTTTGATATTCTTTAATTATTGATTAATTGCTTAATTCACAAGATCTTGATATGTTTTTTCCAATTCTTTTGCAATATCAGCAGCTTCATCTTGTAATAATTATTTTTGATCATTAAAATAATCAATTAATTCAGGTGTTAGTAATTCTAATAACAATGGTTCGCTTAGAGGAGGTAATTCTTTCCATGTAATTGTTTCCCCACATCCGAATGATTTTTATTAATCTATTATTTTATAATTTTCATAATTTTTGAGGAATCCATTTTACTTATATATTTCAGATTCATATAATTAAATTTTAGTAAATCCTGATTAAAGAATAATATCTGCAATCTTTTTAGTGGTAATTTAAGGGCCATCATTTAATGACGTATAAATAACTGAACAAATATTAAAATTCTTTTTAATTTCTAATTCAATTTCCTATTTTATTTCTAATTCTTATTTTTGTTAATATTCTATATTCTTAAAATATTCCTATATGTCTTTCTCTTATAAATCCCAATATGAAACACTAATTGTGATTAAATCTCTGAATCTCGAAATAGGTCCTATATTTTTAAAAAAAATTTTATCATTTAATCTATTCGTTAACATTGAACAACAACTAATATTCTGTTGACATCTCCATATGCTAAAGCTGCAATTACACCAGCTGAATGTAATAGCTTATCTTCATTTGCATCAAATCCAGGCGTATCAACAATTTCAAATTATCCATATGCAGCATAGCCAATTACAATTTATTTTGTGAGAGATTTTCCTCCATACTTTGCAGGCTTATTTGCTAAGGTTAATTTATTAAACAGAGATGTTTTTCCATGCCCTACAATTCCTAATAAGACAACTTTTAATTAAGACATTTAATTATGAAAAATATAGATTTAATTCCTTAGCTAAACTCAAACTTATAAATTTGGATCATAATTCTATTAGCAATGCACTTTATTTATTTTTTCTGAAAAATCTTGCACAGTTTAAAAAAAATTACTATTGAGCCTCTTATATTTTTAAACATAGAATTTTATTATAATAAAATTAAATACCTTTGTTTGTTAGAATGAAAAATACATTTTAATGTCTTCCTAGCTCTAATTATCCAAAAAAAGATTTGAATAGAAATCCTTGTTTCAACCTCTATGAATTTCATTAAAATTCTATGATATTCAAACTAAAGAAATTTACCTTATACACAGTAACTCCTTTTGATTGTTGGATTACTAATTTTTAAAATTCTTTTAAAGTTTATATGAGAGTTCTCAGATAAAGGAAGAGACTTTGGAATTATAAGGATCAAATTAAAGCAAATTCAAAATAGTACCAGCAAAAAAGGAGATTTACTGAAGAGAAGGGAAAAGAATAAAGTTCTAGCAAACTTGAAAAAGGGATAATAGACAAATTTAAATGTGTTTATTCATAAACATTTTACAATTTTACAAAATAAATTGCATTATTTCTGCTGTAACTAATTCTATTATAAAATACTTAAATTAATAACTGAATTATGGTTTTCAATAAAATAATATCAGTGATTTAATAGAAAATGAAATTGTTAATCTATTCTTATAATAAATATGATATTTTAAATTTATAAATAAAAGTAATATGAAAGAAAAGATTATAATATAATCAATGATTAAAATGATATTTGAAAAAATTACTTTTTAATATTCAAAAAATAAGCAATCATATCTCTTAAAGACTTAAGCATTTTAAAATGCCCCATGTCTTTAAAAAAATTGATATTCCTGTATAATTTCTTTTGAAATATTTAATTTCCTATCATTTAGAAAGAACTAGATAAAATTGATAATTTTTTTCTCTTTATTTAGTAGCCTAAACTAATTCATGTTAATTAAATACTTGGACATTATTCCAGATAAAATTAAATTACAAACTCTTTCTATCAAATCCAATATAAGAATGGAAATAGATAATATATCGAAATTCTAAGGAAGAACAATTAGTTCGATATTTAAAATTAATTTACTACATAAATTAAATTTTAAATGAATAGAAAATATTTTTGATAAGAATTTGATGGAGCAATGATTCTACTTTTGATTTAGGAATTTTCACAAGTTGATCTCATATATCATAGTGATTGTGATATTGAATTTGTTTGTAATAAATGGAGATTTTAATATAATTTTTTGACAAACATTCAATTTACTATGAATTATAGGAGGGATCATACATGAATTCAAAATTCGATTATTTGGGCTTTATATTTCAAGAAAGAGATGTAAAAAGAAAGAAATAAGTGAGTTTAGATTATAAATTGACATTATCTTTTTTGGTCTTGAATTCTAAATGCTTTATTATTAATAGAGCCATAGCCAAAGAATATATCTAAAATATGGTATTAATAACACAAAATAAATTATAGACGAGAGCAGTAGATTTCGCAAACTTTCTGTTTTTCAAGGGGGTATTATTGATATAAAATATATAATTTAAAAAAAATTTTAATTT